CAAATTAGCAATGATTCCTAATCAAATCAAATACCCAGTTGGTATTGTTTCCTTGGTTTTTCTGTGGTGTGACCTCTTAGACCATCCAGTTCAGGGTCTGAATATGGCCATACATTGTGACTAGCAGATCTACACTTTAAGAATCTCACTAATCTGTTCAATACTTTTCAAATTCTTTTGTTTTTCTCTGTAGTTCTTTGGTGAAGACACAGGATCTTTTCCTGTGTCGTTCCCACTTCCTGGTTCCCGCAGTGTGTATATGTTGTTCAGCGTCTTCTTTGGCCCCAGATATTTTTTGTAAATTGGCTAGATTTAGTGGCTTGATTGGAATCAGGATTGTTATTTTTGGCATAATATGTTCTGATGACTCTCCCTTGTTTTTTAATCTACAGCCACCAGTCTGTCCTCCCACAATCGAATGATATTTATTTAGAAGATGATTTTCCTGAATGTCTAAATATAGGAAGTATCTACATACCTAATTGTTCCAAAGGGATTTTCAGAAAGTGATTGTATTAGTGCTCCCACAATAAATTAGCACACACTTAGTTACTTAAGCACATATTACTACAGTTCTGCAGGTCAGAAGTTCAGCTCAGGTCTCCCAGGGCTTAGATCAAGGTGTCAGCAGGCTGCATTCCCTTTCTGGAGGTCCTATGGCAGAGCCTGTTCTCTGCCTTGTTCTGCTTCTAGAGGCTGCCCATGCTCCTTGGCTCGCAGTTCCGTCTTCAAAACCAGCAACTGCACCTCTAACCCTTCTTCATATCTCCCTCTGACAGCAGTTGGCCAGGTTCTCTGCTTCTCAGAGCTAATAGAATTTTACTGGGTCCACCTAGATAATCTAGACTCATCTCCCATCTCAGATTCCCTAATCTTAAATCACATCTGCAAAAGTCCCCTTTTCTGTAAAAAGTAACATATATACAAGTTCCAGGAATTAGGACACAAATATCTTGGCTGCCCAAGCACACACACACACACACACACACACACACATGTCTCTGTGTGTGTGTGTATTTGTGTATGTGTGTGTACATACATGATTCTTCCTTCCACAGCACTCATGTCTTAAAATCCACACCACTGTAAAATCAAAGAATGATTCAGAGTATGGTATTTTGTGAATAACCAATTATGACACCATAATGCCTTGGACTATATGATAGAGTGGAGCAGATTATAGAGAATGAACTGTCATGACATCACAGTTTCACCATTTATATTAATAGTGTCTGTAGTGGGTTCTGATTGCTCCTATTTTTGGAGGTAGCAGCATTTTATTTTGATTATCATTAAGTAGCCAAACCATGTCCCCTTACAAATGCTGATCTAGAGCTCAGAGAAGCTCAGGTTATTGGCATGGTTATTTTGCTTACCCAGCATCGGCATCTTCTGTGCCTTTGGATTGTGGGATGAAAATTTACTGCAGCAGTTACACGTGCTAACAGGGTGCTCTGGTCTTAGGAAAATGACATGAGGACAGAATTTCTAGTCCTCTTTCTGTTGTATGTTAAGAAGTAATTTTTATGTAATTAAGTCAGACAAGAAATCTGAAAGAGAAGAGTGACACTATTTTACATTGGCAATCTATGTTCTTACTAGATAAAGCAATGTCAGGACTTTAATGAGAAACCTTAGAGGAAGCCCCTTCCCTCTTTTCAACCATTCTTCTTCACACTGACACTGGCCCTCAGTCCGTCAATGGACGATTCTTCAGAGGCATTTAGACTTTGACTGTAGCATAGACACTCTTCCACAGGGCTAGTTTGATGAGAGGTTTATCTTGGAGGCCATCCAGGAGGCTGCTACTAAAGCCCAAAAGGACCTCATTATAAAGTGATTTTGCTGTAAAATGGTGCCTTGGAATGATCCCTAGAGACAGCAGGTCATTTATAGTTTTTAAAAAGTACATAGTGTCAAAAAATGTCACCAAGGCATCCATGCCTCACACCTTAATTTTAAATAAATTCCAGATGAATCAAAGAGTTAAGTGTAATTGCTTAATTCCATAAAATAGATTAGGAAAAAATATATAAATAGATGTGCATGTGATCTTGAGTAAGAAGACCTTTGTGGGTTTTGCTTTCATAGGTAAGCCCTTATGTGGAACAGTCATTAAAAACCCATAAAGGAGTAAAGCTGCAACCAGCATGTGCCCAGGTGAAGTCGGTAGGCTCCACCTCACAGTCTCTTCACAGTGTACCTGGAAGCAAAGGAGTGTGGCTCTCATAAAGACCTCACTGGGATCCCTAGCTTTAAGAAGTGGAGGCAGGTAGATCTCTGTGAGTTCAAGGCCAGCCTGGTCTACATAGTGAGTTCCAGGCCAGCTGGGGCTTCAGGGAGACCCTGTCTCAAAAAGACCAAAAATGAAAAAGAAAGAAAGAAATATATGCTATAGCTGGGCGGGGTAGCAGACACCTTTAATCCCAGCACTTGGGAGGCAGAGGCAGGCGGATCTCTGAGTTTGAGGCCAGCCTGGTCTACATAGTGAGTTCTAGTTCCAGGCCAGATGGGGCTACAGGGAGACACCCTGTCTCAAAAGACCAAAAAAAGAAATGTATACTGAGGCCTTAAGAGATGGCTCAGCAGGTCAAGGTGCTGCTGCCAAGCCTAAGCCTCATGACCTGAGTTCAATCTCCAGGACCCACATGGTAGAAGGAGAGAACCAACTCCTGTATGTTGTCCTCTGTTCATGGTAGATGTATACAAAGATACATGGGGGGCACGGGTGGAGAAGCACAAGCACAAGATAAATATTAATTTTTTAATGTCTATTTAATAGTAAAAGGATCTTGAATAAGTCGAGTTTAATTCACCTTTCCCTATAAATTTTAGCAAATGAGAAATTTTAATTAAATTGAAAACAGTGATGCTATTTTACTATAAATTGTTTTGTCTTGCTTTTCAAACAATATATGAACTTTTAATATTAAAACATAAACAGTATGATTTTTAGTGGCATTTTCTGGATGTGCTACAAAGTTTTAAATAAATTCTTGTGTGGGGGCATTTAGTAGTTCCTGATAGAAATGTAGTACTCTGGGTCCACTCAGGACAGAAATTCGCAGGTATAGTTTAGTGTAAAAAGTTACTAACAGTAACAGAGGATTAGAATTATGAAGGGTTAGCCAGCAAGAAGTGAGAAATCACAAGAAGACAAATAGCAGGTGTGGGGTACAGTCACTAACTCTGGGGCTGAGATGGTCAGTAAGGAGCCTCAGATTCCAGGGCTGAGGAGCGGCTCAGTGGAGGGTCTTTGGATTCCAAAGTCACAGTGATGCTGCCCCCTTAGGTGCCTGGGAAAACTCTTCAGGGCAAAGCACCTCGTCAGAGGTTCTGGTTCTTAAGAAACACCCAAGGGGGGAGATGTGTCCTGTTCTTTGAGTGCCACAGTGCTCTGAAAGAGCTGGTCATTAAAGAAGTTGGAGGCACTAAAGGAGTGTGCCAAGAAGAAAGGTTTGAGAGTTGAGAATGTAGTGGTGTGGAAGAGAACATGCTTTGCATGGACCAGGCCCTCTGTTCAGTCCCTAGGACCTGCCCCTGAAAACAGAAACAGGAATGAATGGAGAGAGACACACCAAGACACAGAGGACGCTGGAGCCAGGAAACAAACCCTGCTATCTTAGTTACATTTCCTGTTGCTGTGATAAAATACCCTGAAAAGGCAACTTTAGCAAGAAAAGGTTTACTTTGGAGGTTACAGTTTCTCATGGTAAAGAAGTCAAGACAGCAGGAACTTGAGGCCGCTGGTCACATGCAGCCTCAGTCAGGAAGCAGAGCCATGAATGCTCATAGCCAGGCGACTTTCTCCTTTGTAAGCATTCTAGGACCTGAGCCCTGGGAATGATGCTGCTCAAGTTTAGGGTGAGTTTTCAGTTAGATTTCATGGAATCAAGGTAATCCCTTACAGATAGGGCCAAAGGCTAACCTAATCAAGGTCATCCCTCAGAGGTGTGCCTCCTCAGGCGATTCAGATCCTGTCAAGTTGATAATCAGTATTAACCATCTCACCTGGTACAGCTCCAGAAAAGGTTTCCAAGGAGTGAAAAAGCTAAATTGGAGAGGTAGTAAATTGGTATCTAGCACAGGGGTAGATCCTTGTAAATACATTATTGAGTATCTGAATATTTTCTTATGTACATTCCTAGACCTAAGGTGGATAGATTAAAAGGGACATAATCTGCTCTCAAGAAAGATTTCTATCAGTAAGTTGAATTTATCTTCCTTACCACATTTTCTTGGGAACTACAAGTTCCTCCCACTTTAGTTAGCCATATGCATCATTCTTTTTAATACTTACAAATCTGATAAACCCCAAAATCTCATTACTGCTTTTTATTTGTGTTTTTAAAAAAATTAGTGTGGTCAAGCTGGTGAGATGATTCAGCAAGTAAAGGCTATTGCAGATAAACATGATGACCTGAGTTCCATCCTGGGGACCCCCATGGTAGGAGGAGAAAACCTGCCTCGAAAGTTGTCCTTTGACTTCCATACGCTCTTACACAAATACACACCAAAGTAAATAAAATAATTTTTAAAATTTAGTGATGTCAGCGGTTTAACATGTTTATTTTTCCTTTCTTCGGTGTACTTCTTGTCTGTGTCCTTTCTCCATTTTAAAAACTGGGACATTGCCCTTTTATTATTGATTTATAGATGTACTTTATGTATCATGTATTAGAAAGCTTAAATGTTTATGTAGCCAAATTTAGTAAAATTTTACTTTTCATCTTTAACTATTTGATTTTCTAGGAAATCATTTTACTATGAGATATGAAGTAAATATTTAAGTTTTGTTCCAAAAATGTGAATTATTGTGTTGCTTATATCATATATTGAATTATATTACTTGCCTTTTTATAAATGTATATAAATGCATGTGTGTATATACATAATGTCTATAAATGTCTACATATGTGTGTGTAAATATGCACAAGAGCTTTAAAATGTTTTCCTTTTGGTATTTAGTCAATTTATTTTTGTTTTTTGTTTTTTCCCAGAACAGGATGCAGGTCTTGATGCCCTTTCCTCTATCATAAGTCGCCAAAAGCAAATGGGGCAGGAAATTGGGAATGAACTGGATGAACAGAATGGTAAGAACAATTCTGGAGTGATCAGGTTTGCCATTCCCCAGAAATACTACAGGCTCAAGTATTTGTTGAATTAATTTAATATGATATAGCACATAGAATGGTTTAATACAATTGATGGTGGTTTGTGGACAATTTAGATTGTAGTTTTCAAATATTATATAAAGAAATGTGACTAAAGTTTCCAGTTCTTGCTGTGGTTCAGTGGCAGACAACTTGCCTCACATGCATGAGACCCTGGGTTCAATCCCCAGGCGGCCAGAAAGACAGAAAGAAAAAATTCCAGGTCTCAGCGACTGTTTCAATTTAATTAAATAACTTTGGTAAGTGCACCCATGTCGTGCAATGCCTGCAGAAGACAGAAGAGGCTGTTGGATCCCCTAGAACTGGAGTTACGGACAGTTGTTAGCTGCCACGTGGGTGCTGGGATTCAAACCCCACTCTTCTGTAAGAACAGCCAGTATTCCTAACTGCTGAGCCATCTCTTCAGACCCAACTTTGGTTTTCTTATGAGAGGGTCTTACTGCCTAGCCCTCGCTGGCCTTGAACTCACTATGTCAATCAGGCTAGCTTTGAATTTGAGTGATTCTCCTGTCTCTGCTTTGCCAGTGCTGAGATTATAGACATGTGCCAGCATACCTGGCTAAGAAGTACTTTATGATCTATTATCCCAAGTACTTTTCTGTGGATGATGTGAAATTGTTCAATGTTTGGTATATTGATGCAGTGTATAATAAGTCTGTGTGAGCCTCATATCATCTCCACACCCAGTGAAGTATGTTTTTCCATCATAAATAGCCAGGCTATAGGACAAAGAAGTGTTTGAACATGTCTGTTCAGGCTTGATGTGACGAATCTGGTTTGAGAACCCAAATCTGGTTTGCAAACCACAATGGTTGGAGCTTTGAGACTCAGGTTCCCTGCAAGGCTCTTGTGCTTGAGTTGTGTAGCGAGCATGCTCGAGCTGGATCAAGAGTTGTAGCAGTAGGAACGGTGAAGAATTGGGATGTAGGCAGGAGACTGCCAGGGCTCCTACTGTGATGGATATGGTTAGGTAAATCGAGAAGAGTCACTGGTTTGTTAGTGAAGAGTATAAGTCCAAATTAGATGTGTCCAAGCAGGGATGCCACTGAGAGGTCCAAATGGAAGCATCCCGTCGACAATTGGTGATGCAGTACCAGAGCTCAGTGAGAAGAGCAGAGAAAAGCCATGGCACAGAGGTGATACTTGGAAGCCTCAGTCAGGCAAGTTCCAAAAAGCTAGCACTGACAGGAGCTCCTATGCTGAGCACTCCCAACTATATCATTTTCCTTTCTCTCTACCCAAAGTCGCAAAGGCTATGCTATCCTCATTGTTAGAGATGAAGCTCTAGAGATGAAGCCAGGACAGTTAGAAAAGGCAGGATTGAGATTCTAACTCAGGTTTATATAATATAACTGCTTCTTCTATTGTGCTAGCTTCCTCTCCAAGGAAGACGAGGTAGGGAGACAAGAGTCCAAAGTTAAAGAGCCTGAAGTTTTAGCTTTGGTGACAGTACCATGATGTAATGGCTTTTGAGAAAGTTCATATCATGTGTGGGCAAGCATGGGTGAAGTCCCTCTCAGCAGGGAGGCTGCACTTGCCAAAATTATACAACAGGCACTTCTTTTCTCGATCTCGAGAAAGAATGTGTTCATTTGTTCCCATGGTTTAATTCCCTTTCTCTATCATAAATAAACAAATCCAGCTGTTGATCATCTATCACATATAGATTCCTAAGCAAATGGAGAAACCCTATGTCTCTGCTGTCCTAATAGTGACTTGAGGTGGCTCAGCACAGAGAGAAGGACAGGTTGTCCCTTTTCTTGACTGTACTAACATGAGCAAACCAATTTACATATTTGTGTGTAGTTCAGATATTGATCAGTTCTTTCTTTGCAAGCTAGTAAGATCATAAGTTTTGTAGAAAAATCTGGCTATCTGGTATCTAACTGTTCTTTACCTCAGGGAAAGTTGCCTGTTCAGTGGGTCTGGCCCCAAACTGATGAAATGTCTTGTGATATGTGTAGACTACAGTATCTATGGCTATGTGGCTAAGAATTGAAGATGCATGATTTGGTATGGAACATACTACCTTCTCAAGGGAAAGTACCATGTGTTCCCCAGCATAAGCAAGCATAACAGCACATCTTTATTTGGCTTTAGTTTAGTGGCTATGAAACAAAATTACTTAGGGAACTTTAACACTTACCCCCCCCCAAGCCTAGTGTGTCTGTGCTAGCTTTCTGTTGTTGCTATGATTTTACCACAAAAATAGCTTCTTAAAGCAGCATAGACTTAGTGTCTCGCAGTTCAGTAGCACACAAGTCTGACTTCAGAAAACCAAGATATCAATAGATGTCAACATTCCTTTCTGAAGGCTCTGGGAATGAATTGGTTTCCTTGCCTTTCCCAACTTCCAGAGGCCACCCACATTCCTTGGCTTATGAGCCCTTCCTCTGTGTTCAGAGCCAACAGCAGTAGGTGGAGACCTTCTGATACCGCATCACTCCTGCTGCTATTCTGCCTTCCTTTTCCACTTTTGAGGACCCTTGTGATTACATTGCACCTGCCCAGACAAGCCAGGAAACTTTCCTCAAGGCCAGCTGATTAGGATCTTTAATTTCACCTGCAACCCTGGTGTCTCTTAGCCATGTAGCCTCACATATTCACTGGTTCCAGGGACTAAGATGTGGCTGTCTTTGGGGAGCCATTGTTGTGTCTACCGCAGAACTTCATGGATTAAAAGCTCTGCAGATTGATTTCAGTGTATTGCCAGTGCCCTTGCTGACTGTGCTAGGAAGATGTATTTAGAATTGGACTTTCATATTGCCTCTCCTATACCCACTTGACACATACAAATCCTATACATGCACAGGACATTCCCAGTTCCAGGTGGCCACGTGGAACTTGTGATCATAGGCAGAGTTCTTCCGCTCATTCATTTGACCCCATCTCCTCGTCTCTTCCACCATGTCTCCTCGGCCCTTGCCCTCCTTCCACCCAGGTGGATTCATGTCTATACAGACAAACTCGGTATTTTTCCATGAGCTGCCAACATAAGCTGGGTTTTTATGTGGTGGCCTCCCAGGTAGGTCACAGTTAAATGGGTGGTTTTCTAATGTGATGTTTTCTCCCCAGAGAGGGCATGCTCAATCATTTTCTCTCACAAGAACTGAGAGACACTAAGTGGGAAACAAAACAAACACGTCTCTGACAGGATTATAGTCAGCCTCCATTTTTTTGTTAAAGTGAATCAAGGTAGCCAGGTGTGGTGGCTACCTTGATTCAGAAAAAAAAACCAACCAGACCATTCCATTTGGAATCAAGGATCAAACCTTACTAATAAATTCATCGTACTTAGAATATAACCACATAGCCATAGGATCAAATTATTATCAGATTGGGAATCTAGTTTTCAAACTCCACATAGTTAAGAGGGTCTGGCCAATTCCAGTTACCCGTTCATGTGGCAGTTACCAGTCTAGTGAGGGAAAGAGTACCAGTGAAGGGAAAATTCCAGTGATTGGAGCCTGCATGCCAACTGGTTTGTTGTAGGTTGGAGATGAGCAATCAGGTGATAGAGATGGCTTTTGTAATACCAATGCTGGGAGTGAGGAGACCAGTGGGTCTTTAAAGAGCTAGAAAGTATGATTGCTCATTGAAAAACACTGTTTTCTCAAGGATTTCACATGCACATCAGTGAATTACCACTTACTGATTAGTTAGAATTCCTGGTTGAATTTTCATGGTAAAAAGTGAGAAAGATACTGTATAGTCACCCCCTCCAACCCCAGAGGATAGCCATATCTCCACCCCTGGAGTTTGCGAATGTTATCTTATGGAGTAAAAGGGATTATACAGGTGTGTCAAGTTGAGTCAGTCAAGACAGGGAGATTATCTGGGATTGTGCAGATAGACCCTAAGTGTAGTCACAGGTATCCACATGAAAGCAGGGGCTAGATGTGTCACTCAGTGGTAGAGCACTTCCCTAGCATGTGCTAGACTACTAGTTTCATCTCCAGCACTGCCAAAAGAAAAAAGAGTTGGGTGTGAGGCAGAGGAAGATTTGTCAGAGAAGAATAAGGCAGTGCAGTGACTGAAGCAAGATGTTATCCTCTGGCTGTAAACACCGGGAACATGAAGCAGGGGTACAAGGGATAAGGCTCTATAAGCTGGGAAAAGCAGAAAATGGATTCTCCCCCAGAGTGTCTGGAAGAACAACATCTTGATTCACTCCAGAGAAACTGATTTCATACTTCTGTCTCAAGTACTGTGAGGAATAAATATATATTGCTTTAAATTACTAGGTTTATGGTAATTTATTAGTGCAACAAGAAGAAAGCAATATGAGTTGCCAGTGGATTCAGATTAGCTAACGTTTGGCATTATCCATGGTCTATACCTTGCTTACGTGGTGAGGTGAGTTCTTTAAAGCAGGCATCACCAGAGGAAACTTGCAGTGGCACACAAGTCAACCTGTATCTGAAGCCTTTTGAACTGTTTGCTTAATGCTTTGATTATAAAATCAGTCTTGTACTGGTAAAGTACAAGAGAAAATTAATGTTTTCCTGTCTTACCCAGTGTCCTAGTTTGTCTCGCCACTGCTATAACAAATACTCTGACCACTACCAACTTGGGGAGGAAAGGGTTTATTCAACTTACGTCTCCCAGGTCACAGTTCATCAGGGAGCCCAAGGTAGGAACTCAAGGGAAGAACCTGGAAGCAGGAGCTGGAGCACAGGCCATGGAGGAACACTGCTTACTGGCTTGCTCCCCTTGCCCCTGCTCTGCCTGCTTTCTTGTAAAACACAGGTCCACCTGCCCAGGGGTGGCACCACCCGCAGTGGGCTGGGCCCTCCCACATCACTCATCAAGAAGATGCTCCACAGACATGGCCGCAGTCCTATGGAGGCAATTCCCCAATTGAGGCTCCCTCAACCCGGGTGTGTCAAGTTGACGCTAAAGCTATCCAGCAGACCCAG